GTCTGTCTGTGTGTATGTATGTATTAAAAAAAAATTTTCCGTTTTCCTCTTTTTTTCAGTGCCAGAAATCAAACCCAGCACCTCATGTACACTCTGGCAAGTGCTCAACCACTGCATTAAATCCCCAAACTACATTCAACTTTTAAAGAAATGAGATAAGAAGAAATAAAACTTGCTTACCCATCTACCAAAATAAATATTATGTGGACTCTCAGGTATGTGGTTGGGGTCCAAACCATAATCCTCCAAAACAGAGAATACATGTTGTGGTTTCTTCAGGTTCACTTTTCCTTCAAATGGCAAAAATTCAAGTGCCTAAAAAAAATAAATAAAGGAATAATGTACTAGAAAAAAGTATTTTAAAAAACAAGTAACTTACAATATGTACTGTATGTCTAGTGTCACCATTAAATAAAGCATGGAAAACACAGTACTTAATATAAAATATGGTCCAAAATAAGCACTTAACCAACATACAGTCTTATACATCAACAACAGCTAAAGTACATTAATCCTACAGGCTTTTGGTTTTCCTAAATTCACTTACATCTATTCGTTTGACTTTTTCTTCTTGTGTCAGTGTTTTATTAAATGTGTGAATCTTTATTTTATATGTAGAGTCTGAATGTAGAAATGGAACCTAAAAAGAAGCAGATAAGTTTTTTTAAGCTTAGAAATTCCACTGAATCTGCACATATGCCTACGTAAAACTACATTTCACTACGCACCATCTTCTCCACAGGGTAATCTTTAAGGGAAGTATACAGCTCCTCAGGAGATTTTCCATGACCCCACAGTTCAAATATAGACCTAGGAAATAAATGATTGATACTAGACTCAGTAAAAAACTTAGTTTAGACAGTAATACATAAGAAGTATTTAGTAAAATACCTGTTCTATGTGCTTGCTACACCAAACCAATTGCTGATTATGTTTTCTAACCTATGTATCCTGGAAATGTAACTTAAGTTCAAACCCACAAAGAAGTTGAACCTTACAAGAAAGGAGGGAAATTCAATATAAAGACTTTGCCAAGTCCTAATTGTTCCAGATCTTATGCATGCTAAGCATACCATCTACCACTGAACTACATCATGTCCTTATTATATTTTTATATTGGATTAAATAATGCAATAAAATCATGGGTATATGGGATATTTAGTTACAGAGTATCAAATTTTTCCCAATTGTCTTCTCCATTTAAAAAAAAAAAAAAAGGCCAGATAAGAATGTTACTGTTGATACTTGACTATAATTTGCTAAGATTTACTAAGTCAAAAGGCTAAGTTCTAACAAAGTAGGTACCCAGGGGTGTGCTATAATTCACTTTTTGTGCTATGTTCAAAACAGTCCATACTGAGGATAGAAAGATGGCTCAGTGTATAGGAACATGTGCTGCTCTTGCAAAGGACCCAGGTTCAGTTCCCAGCACCCAGATCAGGCAGCTCACAACTACTTGTAACTCCAGTTCCAGGGAATCTGATGCCTTCTCCTCACCTCTGCAGGCACCTGCACACACAGTACACATGCATACACTCAGCTATACACACAAACACATAAAATAAAAGTAAATAAATCTTCTTTTAAAGTCCATACTAAAAATAAACTATTTAAAATTATTTTTTGTTTTGTATCTAGTACTCAAATAGATATTTTAAACCTAATACGCCTTATGTTGGGAATTCAAACACCTCAAAGAGCCTCTCATACGTGAAAAAATTTAATAGCAATTATCCAATTTCCATTTTCTAGTGAGTTGTATTTAATTAACAAGATCATTAACAAGCTTCAGTTTAAGAAATTAGATTTAGGATTAAGGGTACTTTTCAACAGAATAAAGTTAACTAAATATGGAGGTATCAGAAATATATACATTATAAAGCATTGCTAAACACACTAATAAAATTATATATACACATACATATTCTTATTTGCATTGAATTTTAAGTACAATCTCTAAGGAAAAAAACATTTTCAATAATCTGCCATTATATTCAGGAAAAAAAAGCAACTAAGTGTCAATCAAAAGTTTTTAAAGAAAATACGACAGAAAAGGAAAAATGGAATATTAATCACAAAATCTATAAACAAAAAATAAGCAATAAATAAGCTATTAATTTATTTAAAAATCTGATTATTAGGTTCCTCTAACAAATAAGACATATTTCACAGCAGTCCCCACTTTTTTTTTAATCTTAAAATTTACTAACCTGATTACCCATCTAAAAATCAGGAATAAGAAAAGCGTTTTTAGATTTTCAAAACTTTGGTTACAACCTAATGTAGCATTTATTCTATGCAAGAATATAGTGTTATGTCGTACTATATTCCTACTTAGTATGGAAGAGATTTGACATTTCCCAAGATTCAGCAGGTAACTTTTCCATTTCCTCACCACCATCCAATGGCAAATCATGTCAACTGCAAGCTAAACTGATGCCCATCCACTACCATCCTTTTTAGCCTCTACCAATACCTTCTACAGCAAACAGTAGAGCAAAGTGGTTATAAGAAGCATGGAATACTCATAGTAAGCTTTCTTACTTGGCACAGACTGTCCGTTTCATTAAATTTCTTGCAATATCTTCGGAGGGAATGCTAAGAATCCAAAATGGAGACTGAAAGAAATAATGGCACGCAAATTTACTTCTAGGGGCTACATAACTTGGTATGTTTTGGTTCAAGAAGTTAACAGGAAGAATTCCTATTTGTCACCTTCATGTAAAATTACTTGATCTGGAGAGATAGCTCAGCACTTAAAAGCACTGTCTGCTTCAAAGAGGACCTGGGTCTAGTTCCCAGAACTCACATGGTAGCTCACAACTGTCTGTAACTACAGTTCCAGGGGAACCAATGCCCCTTTCTGGCTTCCACAGGCATTGCAAGCACATAAGTACACTTACATGTAGGCAAAATACTCATAAAATTTTTAAAGGAGAAAAAATTTGATCTGACTCTAATCAAAATAAAAATTGTTCTAATAATAAGAAGGTAAATTTTTTTAGTAGGTAACCTATCAGGATAGTATAGTACAATATAAGTTCATTGTTTTGAAACAAGAGTTTCCTGTATCTAAGGCTGGCTTCAAACTCAATGAGTAGCCTAGGATAGCCTAGAATTCAAAATCCTCCTGCTTCCACCTCCGAAGTGCTGGGATTAAAGGCCGACACTGCCCATTAATTATGCATATTATAAAACAGATTATAATCTTGGAAATTTCTATTATTGTTAATCATTCCTTATAATACTATTTTAACTTCTAAGTAACATGCTGTGATTTCTTAAATTACTAAATCAGTATCTCTCTTTTTTCTTCTTCTCTTCCTTCATTCTCCCCTCCCTTGCTCCCTCTCCCCTCCAAGTCTCAGTGGGTCTCATTCTACAGACCAGGCTAGCCTCCAACTTGCAATTCTCCAACTTAGCCTCTCATGCGACAGGATTACAGGAGTGCTACCATGTCTGGCCTAGTCTCTCATTTTTCAATTAGTTGTGGCCACCTGAGCAGTGTGTGAGGGGCCCCGGGAAATAACCATGATGTAAAGTCATGGGGTATGTCACTGTCATTAACTTATATTATTTTCTCATTTTATTTATGGTTGAGGAGCTCCAGGTATAGAAAGGTTTCCTTCTCCTCTGCCTTAGCACCCAAGACAATACCCCTTGCCAGAACCTGGCCAAACACAGTGTCCTGACCTCAGTTCATTAGTCTCACCCACTATATTCACATTCTCCCTTCCATCCTCCTTTCTCCATAAGTGAAATTCACTCTGGAATAAAACTAGGGACTTTCAATTTAAGTTCTCATCTTTTGCAAGAAATAGATGAAACTGCCAAGTCAATCTTTCCTCTTCCAATATTTATACTACCTTACAGGAAAATCCAAAGGAAAAAAATCATCCTAGAAACATCTTTAACTTGAATTAAATGAAATGTTGAAGTGAACTACAGCAGATCTGATAATGGAAAACATTTTGCAGCTAGATTAGGGATAAATGCTAAGAATGCTATGTGCCCAGATTAATATTATTAAAATAAAAAGATTGACCCAGTATGGCGCACACGCCTTTAATCCCAGCATTTGAGAAGCAGAGACAGGTGGATCTCTGTAAGTTTGAGGCCAGCCTGGTCTACACAGGAAGTTCCAAGACAGCTAGGGCTGCATAATGTGACTCTGTCCCCCAAAAAATGACAGCTTGTAGAAGTTCATGAGAGGTACATGAAAGACTGAAAGGCAGTAGCCCCAAATTTCAAGTCACGTTAAGGAGGAAGAAGTACAAATTAAATTTCTATGTTCCAAACTTCTTTAAAACACTGATAAACTATAAACACAAAATACAAAGTTCATAAATTCATAATCATAGACAATGTACGATATCAAGTTTCAAAATGATTCCCAATATAGTCCTGAAATTCAGCTAAATGCTAATTTGGACTATACCCCATTGATAAATGACAGTACTTTCTCAATCAATGAACAGATACATATTATTATAAGATAGCTGAATTATATAAGAAAATAATCAAATTACAGAAGAAAATAGTATGGCTCAGCAGTTAGCTGGAATGTGCAATGCCCTGGGTTTAATTCCAGCAACACACACACACACACACACACACACACACACACTTAAAATGGAATTAAATTGAAGTAACTTTCCAAAACTACAAATTTCTCCCAAATATTATTTTTCATTCCATTGCATCTAGTTATAAATACAAATAGCCACAAATATAATTTTTTAACATTTTATTTATTTATTTATTTTATGTGTATGAGTGTATTGTCTCCATGTGTGTAAGTGAACCCATGTTGTACAATGCCCGTGGTGGTCAGAAGAAGGCGTTGGAACCCCTAAAACTGGAGTTGCAGATAGTTGTAGCCACTATATGGGTGCTGGGAATTGAACCCGGGTCCTCTGCAAGAGCAGCCAGTGCTCTTAATCACCGAGTCATCTCTCCAGCCCCCCAAACAAATGTAAATTTAAGCTTCACAATTCTTTTCAAGTCCAAGGTTCTATTTATAAACACATCTTCTAATAAAAATTCACCTTACCTTTCCACAGGTTTCCTGACTGCTGGTAAACTGGCCTCCAAACAGTGACAGTAAAGACTTTATTTCCTGTATTGAAAATAAAGAGAAGATATACTTTAAGATTTGAATCTGAAACGTCTGCAACAAGCATGTTTTAATCTTCTGTCCTTGGCTTGTTTTGTTATTTTTGAAGGCTGTAGGTCTCAGGAAGTAGGGATAGGCTACATCTGTCACTAGGAGAGTTATTTTGAGAGTTACTCCATCCTCTGAGTCCAACTTTCTCCCTCTGCCTCTTGGTCTGTGCCATGTAAACAAGCTGCTTCATCATGTTCCTGCCAGCTGGAGCCACCCCCATGCCTTCCCCACTATAATACACTGTACACTCTAAAAATCATAAGTCAAAATAAATCTTGGGTGTTCCACTGCTAGACCAGAGTCCCTCCCCTTGGGGGGAGTCTCTCTCTTTGTGCTATGTGGGGTACTATTTTGCTTCACTAAACCTTGGCTATGTGCTGTGAGTGAAAAAATAAAATAAAAAATCTCTTCTAATTAGCTACTTCTGTCCAGAGTTTTATCATAGCAAACAAGGAAAGTAATGATATACACATTTAAATACTCAAAGTCCACTAGGAAAAACAGATCTAGTACGATTAAAAATAAAAGAGTAAGCTGATATCTACTTAAGGCATTTAAAATTCAATATCAGGCAATTAGGATTCAGGGTTCTCAAAAGATTTTGTGGGCCAAACCATGGCTAAGTAATTTCTGAGAAAGTTCACATGTGTTACAAAAAGACTTCAACAGAAAATATGCTATGCTGATTTTGATGCCCCCTCCCTCACCCCCATATCACAGATGCCACAGACCGGTAAATCTAATATTCAACTAACAAAAATAAAAACTATTAAACATGATTTATGGATGTTTGGAAAAGATATAATTTACTAGGGAGCATCAATGTGGATTCATTACATACGTACAAGTATGCTGTTAACCTTTCATTAGTAATAAAATAAAAAGAGAACAAACATAATACAGTTTGGGGGGGGGATGTTTTTTGTTCTCTTTTTGGTTTTTGAGACAGGGTCTCTTGTAGCTAAGGGTGCCTTGAACTGATTCTCTTGCCTCTGCCTCCCAAGTGCCAAATGCTGGAATTACAGGAGTGTGCCACCAAACCTGGCCAGAGTAGGTACTTTAAATGTACCATGAATGCAAAGATGAAATCTGATCAAACAGTACATACATTCCTTGAAGCAATCACTTTGTACCAATAAAAACAGAATAGCTATACAAATAGTATGCTTTGTACCACTAACACATTGTCTCCTTTAAATAACATAAAGCAAGTGACTCCCATTCTTCTGCAGATGCATTATGGAAGGGGTAATCTAGGGAGAGTTAAGTGTCTCCATTGCTGGTTGCCTACAATTCCCTTCCGTCCCTACTGGAAGGAGCTCTTACATCAAGCTCACAGTTAGCACGGGAGAATGTACATCTACACTTCCGTTTCCCACTCCAAATCAAAAAACAATGGGAGATTTAAGCAGTCAGTATTGTTTTTCCTTTGACTATGTACCAAACCATTTCTTTGGGGGGGGGCGTCTTTTTGAGATAGAGTCTCCCTGTCTCCCTGTAGCCTGTAACTCCAGCTGGACCTGGCTGGCTAATACGAGATGGCCTGCCTCTGCCTCCCTAGTGCTGGAACTAAAGGCATGTGCCACCATGCTGGGCCCAAATCATTTATATTAGAAAGGGATGAGTTCAATCCAAACATATGAATGGATCATAAACAGTCAATCAGTGATGGAAGCCCAAGGTTAATCTGGAGCAAGGATGACATAAATTTGAAGCAAAGACATAATGAAATGTGGAAGTCTACGCTTTGATTTTCAGATCTTCAATACAGTAGCTATGTGTTTTTTTTTTACAAACTAAGTCCTTCACTCTCCATTCCCTCAGGTGTAAAACAGGAACCATAGCTGTTTAATGCAAAAGGATATCTGTGCAGAGAACAGCACAGAACCTTAGGCTGTTGTTTGTTATAGAATCAAGATGGTGATTCCAACATGGTCCTTGAAGTTCAGTTGTCTCCTGAGGTATACTCCTTACGATCTGGTGAAGAGAAGTCTACCTTGTAGCCCTTTCTTCATTTTCCAGTGACTACTACAGCAAGCAATCTGAAAAATAATTACCTTCTGAGAGAGTAACCCTCATTTTTAACCACAAAGTACACACATCCAATGCCATCAATACATCTCTGCTTCATAAACCTTTACTCTCCTAATGTCTAGGGCCCTTACATTTGAAACTTCTCTTCTGACTTTCCCTTAATGTCAATGCTTCCAAGTCTGTCCTATGCTCACTACTTTTGACCTTATGCTTTAAGTAATTCCACCTTCCAGTTTCCTTCTGCAGGAGACTCACAAATATTTATCACAAATCTAGATTGCTCTGCTACATTCAGATACACAGTGTTGCCTGGGCATCTCCACTTGATATGAAACACAAAACACCTCAAATTCAGTATAACCAAAATTTAAATCTGAACATCTGCCTATCTTCTCTATTTTATTTTTTTTAATATTATTTTTATGCGTATGTGTGTGTTGCCTGAATGTACGTTAAGTCCGCCCATGTCATGCAATGCCTGCGGAGGAAAGAGGCTGTCAGATCTTCTGGAACTGGAGTCATGGACAGTTGTTAGCTGCCATGTGGGTGCTGGGATTCGAACCCGGGTCTTCTGCAAGAACAGCCAGTGTCCTTAACCATTGAGCCATCTCTCCAGCCTTATCTTCTCTATTTTAAAGATACTCTCAAATCCAAGAGCTATCCTTGACTGGTCCCTCTTCCCCTATCAATCAATCCCTGATTTTCTTAACTTCTACAGTGTCAGTCTGTCCCATCCTCTCACTGCTTGCACAAGGTCAGTCTCTTAATCAGTTAACATTCCAACAGATTTTTCAATAGTCTCTGACTTCAGTCTCATTCTTCTCAAGTCCATCCTCCATGCTGCTGTCAATTTTGAGAAAGATCTAATCCTATCACTTCTTTACTAAGAACTCTTCAATAAAGTCCTCTTCCAAGCTGTAGGGTATTCAAGTCTGCTTCTTCACCTGCTCTTCCTTACCACTCTGCCACATTACCTAGTGACCCTGTAAAGGCTAACAGCTTATACTTCTAACATACTTATTTCCTTAGCCCAAATTACTCATTCTGTGATCCAAATGTTACCACCTCATGGAAGCCACCTTTAAAAGTCAACATCCCCATTTCTCAATGGATGAGATTCCCTTTTTTATATGCTCTTCCCTGTGCATCTCTCTCAGTGCACTTCCCAACGTCATTATTCCGCTTATGGGTGTGTTAAGTCCTAGATAGTAAGATCCTTGAGGTCAGAGCTGTCAGTCAGCAAATCCTAAGCGAGTACAGGCGCTCTGGAACACGTTTCTTGTAGAGTAGACATCAATTCTCCCAAATTCATCATCTAGCCACCAACAAGCCCGCCCTCCACCAAGCCCGCCCTCCACATCCTGACACTTCACACACCACTGAACGCTCCCTGAGACGTCTCTGTGGTCCTTTGGTTACGAGTTCAGGAAACGGCCCATCACTACTGCGGCGCCAGGCACACGTGCAGAAGAATGAATGACTAGGTTCGGCCGGGAGGGGTCGCCGGGGACACAGCTCATGTCCCGTCGGCCTTAAACCCGCCCGCCCCAGCCTCCTGATGAGCGATTTGGGCGGGCCGGGGAGCGCCGCAGACCACCCCCACACACACACCGCACCGCGCCGTCCCCTTCGTCCGGAAGCGCAGGCGGCTCACCGGCAAGCGGAACTCCAGATGCTCCTGCGCCATAAGCAGCAGATACCTGTTCAGGGAGCCCGGCAGCGCCATCGCAGCTGCTCCTTGCGGCTGCGCAGGCTCCGCGCACCGCCCCCTTTTCCACAACCGAGTTTCCGCCTAGGCGGAGCCTCAAGGGCCGGAAACGGAAGCTGGGCCATAGGCGCACAGTCCGGCTACCCCCTGGGGGCGAAAGCAGCTTCTGCTACGCTTGGAGGCAGCGGTCTTGTTCTGGCTTTGTGGGCGTTGGTGCTGCGTTTTTAGGCGTAGGCTGCAGTGCCCGGTGATCCTCCACCTGGCGTCTGCTTTCAACTTTCTCCTCAGCTCTTGAAACCCGACTTCAAAAACCGACTGAAATTTCACCCTGTGTAGACTCTAGCCATCCAAGATTATAGGATTCACCGCATCAGGCTTAAACATTTAGCGTACTTTTGTGTTTTTACAAAAATTTAAGGACAGGTAACCCTATAGCCTATTAAACTCTTGAGTTTCTGGGTCATCTTGGTTTATTCTGTACGGAAACCAATATAAATCTTCCTCAGATTGAGTACCCAATATTAAGTTTTGTTACTTGTTACAACCAGTAGTAAATTAAAAACATTTGTTGAAACCAGGCGTGGTGGCGTATTACCTTTACTCCCAGCACTCAGGAGGCAGGGGCAGGCAGATCTATGTAGACCAGCCCAGTCTACATAGCAAGTTCGAGGCCAGCTGCAGCTGCAGGGACACCCTGACTCAGACCAAAAATAAAAATAAAAAATTTATTGTTGAAGTTTCTTTTATTAGATGGGCCTAATCTGATCATTGTTTAGAGTATGTATTTTTTTCTTAATTGCACATTCTGTCATTACTGTTGAAAGTACTGGGCCCTCTGCCCCATTGAAGCCTATGTTTTGTTGCATTCCACCTCAATACTACACAAAGTACAAAAGTATCCTACTTCTCCCTAGCACCATGTGCCAGTAACATAGTTGACGTTTAGTGGTGATGAAGACAGTCACAACATAGACAGTGATGGCACTCAAACCTCAGTTCTACCATATCCTATCTATATGCTCTCAGTAATTTTATAACATCTCTGAGGCTGGGGTTTCTTATTAAAAACAGGAATACTGCGTCCTTCAAAAGACCACACGAAGGGATTGGGGATTTAGCTCTGGTAGAGCACTTGCCTAGCAAGTGAGAGGCCCTGGGTTGGGTCCTCAGCTCCTACAAAAAAAAAAAAAAAGACCACACAAGGATTAGATAGAAATAATGTTCACAAAGTACTAATACAAACAATTGTATGGGGCCATTAAAGGACATTTTCCTTAATTAAAATGTCTCAATAAGTCACTTGAGGTGAATTTATGAGGAGCATAGATTTTTCTTGGTGCCAAGGTTGTTTTGGTTTTTGGTTTTTTTGTCTTTTGAGACTGGGTCTCCCCGTAACTCCAGCTGACCTAGACCAGGCTGGCCTTGAACTCACAGAGGTGGCCTGCCTCTGCCTCCCAAGTGCTGGGATTAAAGGTGTGCACCACCATGCCCAGAGTGGGGCTCAGGTTTTTAAAGGGGGATAAAATACTGTATGGGAAAAATCATTAATCTTTTTTTTATTTTTACAAAAACTTTATTGAGAATTTCATACATGCATATAAGGTGTTTTCATCAAATCCATGCTCACCCCCTCCCCTCCAACATACCCCCCTCTAAAGAGGTAACCTTAAAATCTTTTAAGGATTAAATACAAGTTCCCAAATAATTTCAATATTTTTGGCCTTGGAACAGAGTATGTTACTAATAGGCCCAAGGACATTTTGACTTTTAGCCAAGAAACTGGCTACTTTTCTTTGGGGTCTTTTTACCCTAACTGCCTAGCCAGTTCCTACCTCCTATTCTTATCACACCATCCTCTGAAGGGATTACCCAAATTGCCAATAGGGAATAGGGATGCTGACCGCTCTGGCTTCTTCCATGCTGAACAGGGATGCAGGGTGAGGCAATTGGAGTACCCCTTCAGTGAGTCTATCTAAAAGACTCCCAAATTGCATAACTTTTGTCACTAAGGGGAGAAGAAAGTCCTTGAATCATGAATGGGAGATGTGAAGGAGAAGTAAAGGCAAGAGTAATTACCATTACAAGTTCTAGACAGGGAACTAGAAAAAAGAAAAGGGCAATTTTCAAATGTTCATGAGAGTCCATTGCAGTTTCTTGACAAGGGCTTCCAAAAGCATCCCTCCATTGGGTTCTTCCTCATTTTTCTTTTGTCTTCCAAGTCTGGACTAGTCGATTGGGAAGAGTGGCTGGATACTTGGGTGAGGGTCCAGTGACCCTACTTGGCACTCCTTTAATGAATGAGCACAACCAGCAACAAGCCCAATTGTGACTATGTTTAGTGATCAGGCTCAGCCGAAGTCGTGATGATGGTAGTTAGTTCATGCAGAAGGGACTGCTGTATAGCATCAGCTTATTAAAAGACCTGGAATTTAAAAGGATTTGGTGCTAAGAGTCACACATGAGGGAAAACATACATCGTTTATTTTTCTGAGTCTGTGTTACTTCACTTAGTATTACAGTTTCTAGATCCATTTACCTGCAAATTTCATTATTTCATCTTTCTTTACTGCTGAATAGAACTCCATTGTGTAAATATATCACATTTTTGTTAACCACTTGTCAGTTGAGGGACACTTAGGTTGCTTCCATCTCTTAGCTATTGTGAAAAGAACAGCAACAAACATGGCTGTGCAAGTGCCTCTACAATAGCATGAATCCTTTGGGTATATGCCAAAGAGTGCTATAACCGGGTCATATGGTATATTCATTTTTAGTTTTTTAAGAGTTCTCCACATTGTTTTCCATAGAGGCTGCATGAGTTTGCAATCCCACCAGCAGTGAATGAGCG